TTAGTAAACTTAAATGGCCATGAAAAAATCCATTCTGCACACAACACACAAACATGCCTTTGGTGACAAGGGCTATAGCTCCCATTAGTTTCAAGAGAACACACATGACAATGCAGCAGCTGCTTGTGAGCAAGAAGTAGGATGCACAAGAGACTTCACGTCAGTGTCACTGGCAAAGACAATGGCAAAATCAATAGGGCACACACAACTGCAGAGCAGGGAAAGTGGAACATAGTTAACTTAGCATTTCAATCAATCTCTAATAAGGCAAAAGATTGAAGCAGACTGTTTAAGATGGGCAAATCAGTCTGGACCGGTCTATTACGGTCTTCTGTTCTCCTCTTCATGCTGAGTGACCCGTGTTAGATTTAACACTCACTATCTCTAGCTCTGTAACACCAGAATGAAGAGTGACATTTATTTTAACTTGTTTTGCTGAAACAGAAGGAGTCTGGGGGCATTTTGTCTGTTATCAGTATATTTTTCAACTTCTGAATATACTGATTATATATGACACAAAATGGACTTTGAACATACTATTTTACTGATTCTTCAAAGTACTTGCTGTACTGCAAACAGATCAGCTTACAGGGTTCACGTTTGAGCACAGTCCAGAAGCGAATAGATGTTTAGTGTCTTCTTCATGGGCTCTTCAATAAGACATTCATTTCCCAGCACTGCTCCTTGAAAACAGGCGGTTAATTTAAAAGATGGCCTATAGTCACTGCACTGATGATGTAGGACATTTTAATAAGCAATGTTGAAGAGATCAGAATGAAAATGTTTTTATGTGGAATGCCTGCGTTAGTACAGTGAAAACGACAGGCATGGTAACCATAAAGTATTGATGGTAAGATGCATCTTCTCCTCAAGGAGCACATTTAAACTTACATTTCCTTCCGAATTACAGAATGCCACCACCTGGCAGAAGTTTTAGACTGATCTGAGGATGACACATAAATGTGGGTCCGATAAGTTACAGTAAGCAAAAGCCGTCCACAGACAACTGCTTCAGAGAAGGAAAAACGCTCATGTGTGAAGAGATGTGGATGGGACTCTGGTTACAACAGGTAGAACTCAGAGTATGTGTGCTCATGTCAGCACATGCACAGCGTTGTTGCTGTGCCAGCTGAGGTGCAGCTGTGTTTGGACTCGGCTCTTCTGGCCACGACGTCGGGCATGACAGCACAACACTACAGCAGCTACAGAGAACAGTGCGTTGTGAGGAGACATTCAAAGTGTGACTGTGGACAAAAGGAGAGGGTGAGGAAAAGGCCCAATTATATTAGGTCCATCTTTAAAGCTCTGATGCATCTCTTCAATCTAAATTCAAAACGTGCAACATAGCACATCTCTGGGGTTAAGAGAAAATATGTTTTTCTCATAAAAATGCCTTAACTGGCTTTAACAATGTGATAGCTGGCAAATGGAGGAAAAGTTTTTTTAAAAGCATTACATTCAAGATGGATTTGTAAAGGACCAGTATTTTTAGCATGTTTAGCTTCTATTACTATAAATAATATGTCACATTAGTGCCAAACATTTTCCAAAGCAGATTACAAATAAAAATAAACATGTTTATTGTGTAATGTAGCTTTAATGAATATCACTGTGAAAGGTCTGCACAGCATTATTATGGTACAGCAAGGTAACCAATACAACAATAAATCCAGACACAGCGTTCACTTCTAGCTTTCACCTGGATGAAAGTTTATTTGTCTACTTCAGTGAAATGAATGCAAACAAATGGCTGACCAGAAAGTACCTAATGTGAAACACTGCAGTATCATTAGTGATGTAAAACTGATAAGATCTTTTTAGCCAGGCACTAGAATAAGAATGAGTTGTGGGCTGAGTCAAAACTGGCCTCAGACCCATTTCTCCAGAGGGGGGCAAAGCAGCACAACCTAAAAAGGAATATTTTCAGCATTTGCATTCAATGGAACTATTGTAACATTAGAGGAATACTCAGAGAAGAAAATAGAGAATGGTCAGCCAATGACCAACAAACGTTGGTCTTGTTTACTTATTACATAACAGTTTTTCTTGGAGTACCAAGATTAAAATGAGTGCACTGCACATGCCTGTTGTTGAATATGTCAGGTTAAAAGTTGAGAAGAGCAGCATGACTTGTCTGATTGCATACATCCTGGGGGCAGCTAATCCTGACTGTGAATAAATCATGAGGGACCCCGCTGAACTGAGGAACCGAGTCAGGTTCACAGTGTTCACCTCTCTGACCTCTATACCAAGTCACACCTCACTGCAGAGTCAGCACATGCCTGCTGAGCTGCACTCCATATGCCCCAGTTTGCTTAAGGACCATTGTCCCATCAATCAAGATGGGCTCTCTCCTGGGGCTATACTACAACAATGGGATGTTTACTGAACCCAGTCTTTGAGCAGTTATGTGAATGGGTTTGGAGAGGGCAGACCTTTCCTACTGTTCAAACTGTGGAGTAGAGCTGGTGTTTGCACTGCTCTTATTTGCAACTCCATAGAATCCTCACAGACTCTGAATGGGAATCTTAAAGTGCCGCACAGAGAGAAGAGCCACCTCAGCCAGTCAAGACACTACCCAACACAGACTAAACAAGTCACCAGATCACACTGTTGCTCTATAATATTCAGCACAGTGAAGAAGGGGTTGGGTCACACACAGCAGAGAAAGAGAACAATTTGCACCACAGACATGTGCTCTGCAGATTATAGAGTCCTAGGAATCCAGTGCGCCCTTCCCCCAACCCCAGTGAAGTCAAGGGACACTTGTGACAGTCCATAATGGGAGGGATCTCTTGTTTGTCTGATGTCATACACCAAAACCCACAGTGGCTTCCTCCACTTTTATATGATTAAGTACGAGCAGAAACAAAGACCACCAGCCTTATCAAACCATTTCCACTTGTAAAGTACTGGAATTGCTCAAAAATATATTTGGGAGTAGCATTTTTTTACACCTTTTTTATTGAATATTAAGCTGTAAAAGTACTTGACTTGAATCATCACTTGGTGGTTCACAGCAGGATACAGGTAGTCTTTTGTGATGGAGAGCTCTTACCCACTGAGAGTTCTTCTTGACTTTGATTGTTTAAGTTGATGCGCAAAAAAAAATGACCCGGACATTTCAGCAGAAGAAAGAAGTGCCAGTAGTAACACTAGTATGTGTGCATAATCAAATCAAGGGACAGTGCGCCTGCTGTCGTTCAAAGGCAGAATGCAAGAAACAGATGCTGGTGGTTCCAGATAATTCAATTACATTGGTATTGTTGACCTAGCGGTCAGTCAAGGCTGTGGTGAAAGTGTGGAGGCCATGTCCTGTTACCTCCCAGTGTCAGCACAAAACAGATGATATCAACCCTCTAGGGGCTGGATAGCTTCTCTGGATGGATGACACTGCTTTAGAAAGATTCAGGTACCACGGTGCTGTCTCAGCTTTGAACACAGCTGACATGACAGACCATGTCACCCACAGGAAATGCACAGCGTCCAACAGCATTTCACAGCTGGATGTTAAATATTCCTTGAAGTTGTGAAAACTATAGCTTTTCAAATGTCAGGCACCGGTCATATACTCTATATCCCCCAGATAAAAGATTTATGTCTGCTGATCACTGCAACTATGTCCCATCATTCAAAAAGGCTTTTCTTCAAATCAAATCAGCAGAGAGAAGTCACACATATCCCAACCATGACAGCTCTGTTTATTGGAGGGCATAAAAGAGAGAGACGAGGCAGGACTTCTAGAGGGTGGAGGGAGTCTATTCTCAGCAGCAAAGCAATGGTCATCCTATGTGATTCATATCACAGATATAGCAAAGTAAAGGCAGCTTCTTTTACCCACAAATATCATGAATTACACTTGAATACATACCCAGCGGTACATGGGCAGTACCCTGGAGGTAACACAATTAGCTGATGAGTTGATCAATAGAAAGTTAATCGGAAACAGTTTCAATTTTAAAAATAATTCATTTCATTTATCCAGCAAAAATATTCTCTGGTTCTAGCTCCTCAGATGTGATGGCCTTCTGTTTTTCTCTGTTGACATCACCATAAATTAAATAGGCTTGGATTCTGGTGCTTGTAGTTGGCTCTTTGAAAACATAATCCTGGTCCCCAAGACCTTATGTTGGGCATTTTATTGACTGAATGATTAAGTGAATTATTAGAAATCAATAATAGAAATAACTGTTAGATGCATTCCTACATACATAACAGTGAAAGCTGGATGAATAAAACCAAAAATAAGGAAAGAATTACTAATATGGTGCAGTCCTCCAGCTGTAGTAGATCTCAGAGGAGAATGGCAATAAACATGGAGATTAAATTTGTTTTTTTTTTACAAGGTAAAACCTCTTTTTTCAAATAAAGTCCAACTTTTATTCTGAAGGATGCCAGGTTTCCCAAGAGAAACATACTGTTATAGGGAAGGTAACAATACTGATAAGAAAGGCAACCAAAAGCTCTAGAGCTAGAGAGAACCCAAAGGAGTAACACCACACAAATAATTGCTTACTGTATTTCCAGCTATTATTTGATCACATTGTCTGAATATAAAGGAAACTCTATAGCTATACTAAGAGACAGTGCAGGCATTTCAATGTGTAGCCCAACAAAGTCTGAGGTTTAGGGGCTGAGTAGGCCAGGGAGACTATGAATAGCTTGTTTCTATGGACAAACTTAGCCCTTGTGCACACACCTCGAGCTTCTAGTTTGTCATATTACTTTTAAAAGCACCTTTACAGCTTATACTGATATGCCCATGTGTGCTGGAATCTGCCCTACAGCCCACCTGCATGTGAGCAGCTCTGTACCAGCAGGCAACACTGTTTACTGAGCAGAAATAGCAGCATCAGCGCATGCCTTCATTTTTGCCTTTAATAGGACATAAAGACACTGATTTACTCCAACGTGACCTCTAGAAAAATAGTAGGTCAGTGTTGTGGGTGTGAGTAAAGACGGTGGAAAACAGAGTAAACAGAAGGTTTGAGTTTACTTACACTAACCAACTGGCAAGTGAGTATCAAAGAGAAGATAAGTCCACAGACTGAACTGGTCGGAGTGCCCATTTTCCACCAACCCAGCACAGGCTGCAAATGCTGGGCAAAAAAGGGAAACCCGAGGTCCTTCACTCCTGCTGGCCACTGGAGCGACACGGTGCCCGCAGCTTTTTCACACTTTTCTTCTCAGTGGAGAAACCCGACTGCTCCTCTGCGTCCCGCACCCGGCGACGCTTCATCAACAGGTACAGCTGATCCTTATTTCGCCTTTGTTTATTTGTGTGTGCGTAAAAAGGGCGTAATCTATCGACTTGGAGAGGCTCCAAACTTGCTTCTGCTCCTGTGCGCTCCGAAACTTGGGACTTGGCTCTGGGCTAAATGCGGTCAAGCAAAGTCACTGCGAAGTCCTGTGCAGCGAGAGCCTGCAGAAAAAGTAAAAGGCGGAATGGAATTCAGGGAGTGCTGAGAGAGAGGAGACAGTTAATCCCAGCGCGGGGAGACGCCACCTAGCAGACCCTTGGTCGCTCCACATGGACACACACTCCTCATGCGTCGAGTCCTGACGCGCTGCTATTGGTCTGTTCCTATTCTGTCCATGGACCTAAACATAAGCTTTGTTGTAACGAGAGGGAAGTAGTTAGATCGTTTACTTAATTACAAGCAGAAATATTGCCAAACGCCATTAATTCATAATTTTACTTGAGGAAAAGGTTTCAGTAAAATATACTTAAAAGTAAAAGTAGCCGAGTTCCTAGACAGAACGGCCCGTTTCAGGGTTTTATTCACTATATGCAGGCTAGACCGGTATTGGAGTATTATTTCTGACATTTTAATGTTGTGACTGAGCTAATTTTAGATGCTGCTGGTATTTTAATCCATTACAGTTCATATAACATGTCTTTATGTGCAAAGTAACAGTAACTCTGAGGACTAAGGCCAAAAAGCAGACATATCAGTAACTAACATCAGAGAACTGGATAGTGCAGTGAAAAGTACAATACTACCCTCTGGAAAGTTGGTGATTAGAAGTATATAGTAACTTAAAATAGAAATTCTTAATTAAGGTACCCTAAAGTTATAGTACAGTAACTGAGTAAATGTACTTAGTTACTCTCCACCAGTGGTTTATGATGACATCGTTGTTGGCTGCCTAATAGTGTGTACGTGCATTTTTTCTTAGTAAGTCACTTAAGAAAAATGTATTGGAGCACAAAGAATTAAGGAGCATTAAGTTTAAAACTGTAGTTACTACAGTATGACTAAGTGTACTCACTTAAACTCCACCACTGCTGTACTGGTTGTATATCAGGTGGAGTGGGAACAGTGGGATAATAGTGCCACTTGCTGTCCTATATAATATTTGTAAGAAACCTTCCTGTGATGATTTATATTATAGAAATTTGTGAAGTATTATAATATTACCTTCCTTTTTTACTGTTTGAACACCACGTGGATATGTCAGTGACATATACAGTATAATTATTTTTTTAAACAACTTGGAGAAGACTGGACCTAATCCCTCAAAAAGCCCCTTTTCTTGGGGCAATTTTACTTTTCATACGCTCAAGACATATATTTTCAAAGTGCTTACTTCACTAAACTAGTTCCAGTCACTCGGTCTTATACTTAATGCATTAATAGCAATGGAATATGCCTATGGAGAGCTGGGGGTTGTTTAAAACCTGACCATGTTATTTTGGTAGAAAAGAGGACGCTGTTGTCATTAAAAACGAGCCTCAAGAGCCCTCTACTGGAGCTGGGGGGGGTTACACTGAAGGCTATAATGACTTCATGCAGTGAATACAGGAGACCGACTCCAGCATAAAAATAGAGAGATGGATGCTGTTGCATCGGAAACATGTCCTAAATACAAGCCACACAGAAGCTGTGTGGGACACCGTATGTTGACGTCCATTCATATAATTAGTGTGAGCATGTCTCAGTCAGAGACATGACAGAGCAGCTGTTGCCAATTAAAGGCTGAGCCCTGAACGGACATGGCATCGGACAGATGGCATCCGAGATGCACTGACAAAAACAAAACCTCCAAAGTAAAATTAACAAAGTAGCCTACTATACTGTGACCACTATTGTTTTTAATCACACAAGAGATTTAGATTGTATGGAAGCATTCACCAAAAACTGGAGACCTTATCTCCAGTTTATCACTTGTCTTTTTGCTGTTCTTTTGACTGTAATGTGTGATCAAGCATCATGCTCCTTTTTAACTGCTGCCTTTGGCTTTTTGCATTGTTTTTGTTTAAGAACTGTAACTTGTAACATCAGGTTAATGCCTGGAGCCTGAAAATGCTCCGAATTTTACGGTCACTTAAAGCTCCAAGAGTCATGGGATTAAGACTGATGACTCCTGGGGGTACCATCAGAAGCTCTGCACACTGGTAGCTCCACAGTTTCTTAAAAACATTAAGAGTAACATATCAGTCTATGATGGCTATATGGAAATACAAGCACACATTAAGATTGATTTTCAGCCACAAACAGAAGACAAAGCAGCAGGAACCTAATGTTGAAGATTATATTTAGTAACAAGGTCTTTCTATTAAACCTCTCCTCCCCCTCCTACTTTTTCCTTAATATTCAAGTAATTACTTACATGATGCATGTTTGTTTCTAACAAAGACATACACTACCAGATTTTTTTTTTTTTTTTTTTGTATAAAGGGCAATGTTAGACGTGGCCGAAGGAGCGTAATGACAGCTTGCAGCAGCCTAAACTTAGATGTTTATTGCAGTAAACCCAACTTAATGTATCACTGCTACGACTTAACCAGATGTTACGTTTAAGTTAGTGCAGCTTGAGTTATACAGTATATTAAATGTTATGTTTGTTCTTATAAAAGCAAAATTAATCTGCTGGATTTTTGAAGGGAGTTTGGTCACGTAGCAGAAAAGGACACGAGCTTATAAAGCAAAACAACGTGCGCTGTACTTTATGCTGAAGAGAAGAACCCTGAACAACTTTTGACTCCAGAATCTGAAAACACTGACCTCAGTGTCGACCCAATCATCCATCAATAACATTATGCAGAAACATGCTTTTGCTTCATGTAGTTTTCACTATACATTTACTTCAGTTACAATTTTTATGAATTAAGATTTTACACAAAGTGTGCTTAAGAAACACCTGATGCTTCTTTGACAGTAGTTTACATTTCTATGCTTCTGCAAAGGCGACAGCTGTGGCTAGGGAAGTAATTCTACATGGTGTGAACCTGTACACTTGAATTCATTTGTATAGCACCAAATTACAGCAAGTCATCTCAGCACACTACATAGTAAGGTCCAGATATCATCATCATCATCATCATCAAGAAAACCCCAACAAATCCCCCTTGAGCAAGCACTTGGCGACAGTGGAGAGGAAAAACTCCCTTTACCTCTATAGGAAGAGAAGGATAAGGATAATCACCTTTATTGGCCAAGTATGTTACACATAAGGAATTTGTTTCTGGTACGGAACCGATGGCAGCCATCTGTGGCGCCTTACAGGAAGAAACCTCCAACAGACCCCGACTCAAGGTGGGCGGCCTTCTGCCTCGACCGGTTGGGGTGAGTGGATAGTTTTCATAGTCATCACTCCTGTCATTCTTATCATGGAAAATAAGGCAAATAAACTCAAAGTGAGTGTTTCTGAGTTTATTTCATCATCTGAGTTGTCTGTCTCTGTCAGGCTTCCTCCCTCCCAAAACACACACCCGGATGGTAATGCAGCTACCGTGCAACAGAGGTCTGACAACAATCCCATCTACGTATGAACCTGCTAAACATATCCCTACATCAGCGATAATACTTTACAGGGGTAGGATACAGTCCCCTGCTGGGAGGCTTCCCATGTCCAGAAAATTTAATAAGCATATGAAACACAAAACTCTCCCTCCCCAGTCTAGTTGAAGACCGAGTCTCCCCTTGAAACTTGGCAGAGTGAGACAACTCAGATATTTAACCCTAAACTAAAATAAAGTTATTAATATCTGGGCAGTGATGATTTAGAAAACAGCACAACTACACTTATCAAGACAGGCTTACAACATGTCACAGCACAACTTCATGTGTATGTAGAATCAATCTAACCACTAAGCCTGTCCCGGTTCTTCCACCATTTAATGATGGAAAAATGACCTAGCTTTGTGCAACTCGGTGGTAAAGTTCTAAAATTCAAACAAAGTCTTCAAATAGAGTCAAAGAACTCTGACAACTAGGCCAGAGGAAAGGTTACAGTTCAGTAACTGCAGTAATCTCATCCAAGGCGGAGGTAGACTTGGGTAAAGCTGACTGAGCTTCAGCAGAAACAGTCCCTTCAAGATCAAGTCTGTCTCAACTCTGAGGACCAAAGAGGTTGGTGTGGACGTCTGTAGCAGCCTCCTCATGGTCCCGTTTGCGTCAGAAGGTTGTTTTCTCCAGCTTCAGAGAAAAAAAGTCACTCTTCAGTACAAAGACAATAAAGATTTAATGAAGTGGACTGAGGTGGATACCTGATGTTTCTGAAGAGATCAACAACTCGTGGTGCAAAGGAGTCATGAGGGTCTGGTACAGCAGGGTCTTCGTCTTCTTCACAACTGATCACGACAACTTCTGGGTCCCAGCGTCCGACGTCAGCTTCTCTGGTGGGACAGGAAACAGCTTGGTAAACTGCAACTTTTCAACCAGGAAGTACAATGTACTTTTCTCTAACATATCAATGATTATAGCCCAGTTCTTTCTATACACAGCCTGTTAGCCTTGAGACAATTCAGCCCACAGATCTTCATCAGCTGATCATAGTGTTTCCAGTTGAACACCGAGTGAACAGCCTGCACCACTGAGTGAATACTGCCCCAAAGAGCCCAGACAACATCAGCAATCATCATTGACGACACATATTTTCTTCAGGAAATGCATTTGTTTAGTTAAGATATTACAGTCACATCCACGGTATTGAAATAGACTCTGCGAAAATGAGACTGAGTATTGTCAGATATTACAGTGACATCCACGGTATTGAAATAGATTCTGCGAAAATGAGACTGAGTATTGTCAAGCTGAGCTTTGTCCCCGTGCTTATCAGTTTGAAAGTAGAGCAGTTTGCTGAGGTAACTGCCAGGCCAGTCTTTTTGTAGAGCTATGGCAGACTTCAATCTGTAAAAAAGGCTACAGTCAAGTGTTTTAAGTGTAAGATAAAAGCACCATCTGGTCAAAAGGATTTAATAGGGCCTCAGCTAATTGTGCTGCTGTAATTAGAGATGCTCACCAACATTCTCCTCGAGGACACAGTCCAGTGTCTGGATTGGGTGTCTTTTCTACAGTATAAGTAGCCTCTGTATGTTACACAGTCAAAAATACATTAGCAAGTCAAGACTAATGTCTAATGTGTCTAAAAGACTATGCACGCACATTCAAACACACTGAGACAAGCTGAGTCGACTACCAGCCCAGATTTTTCATGTCATCATCATCAGACGCGCTCAGACAGCTGCTGCTGGATGGCGTCAGTATGGCTTGTCTGCTCATTGACTCCACTGATGGACGGCCCCAGGGACACCTCAGAGCTGATGTCTTCGTTACCTATAGGACTACAACAAACCTTTAAATGTTCTGTAGCATTATATGCAAGCATTGTTACTTTGACTTATTCAACTGTATGTTGCCTTTACAGGCCTGCATGAATACAAGTTCAGTTTTGCCTTTTGAAAGTGGGAACTCTGTCCACTGAGGTAGAACCTGCACAGGGGGCCTGTCCACAACACACAGGCACCAGTGAATTAATGGCGTCACCTGTAAACATGTACGGCATTTGCCAGGGCTCACCATGCATTTGGATATGAACTTGACTCAGAGTCTGCACTCTCATTATATTTATGACGGGGATCAAATCACCAACCTTCTGCTTAGGAGACAACTGCTCTACCTCCTGGGCCACAGCCGCCCCAATCTGCTTACTTCTGTTTTCTTTATCACCACTCCTATTTATTACTCTGTTATCTGGATACTGACCTACTTGTACTTGTGCACATTAAAACATTGGCTCACTTTTCTAAATAGCTGCAACTGTCCTCTGCTGGCATGATTTATTTATTTTCAATAAGAGATGCATTCATGTTGAACTAAGTTCTCTTTATGCCAGGACTGCTCCATGTCATATGCTAACATCTCTAAATCCTAGAAAAACAAACATTAAGTCCAACAATATTATGTTGTGACTACATCACATGACATTTTGTGCAAGTAGTTTGTATTTGCACATTCACTGTACAGATAAAAAAAACAACTAGGTGTTTCTACCACTTGTCTTTACCATTACTAAGGACTTGTGATGTGTAACATCCAGCAACAACCACTTGTGTCCAAATACAAATCCAAAACAAACACCACCACAGTAAACTCATATATCTGCTAGTTACGTGTGTATGCACATCTCTGTCTGTCTCTACGTAGATCTCTACGTAAATCTGCCAGTTATATAGCTGCAGAAATGTATTTGTGAGTCGCTGGGTCTCAGAAGAACTGAAGGAAAACAGCATGATGATGATGATGATTCTCAGTTTAATTACATATTGACATGGAGAACAAACACTACAACACGATCCATGTTCTTTCTGTCCAGTGTCTCCTAAAACCTGTACTCGTACTGAAACAGAACAAAAGGCAGGAGGAGATGTGCATGTAACAAATCACAAATCTTTGGTGTTTACACCAGGTCATAAAACCCATCACTGGAGCTTTTCCATAGACCCCGGCAGCATTCGAGTCACCATCTAATCCTTTTTCCTAGTAATATTACAGAGATGAATTTATCGACGTTATATACTCCTCTGTGTTCCAAACATCCACAGTTCACAGATGCATTATATCAATAGAATTATGTGACATACAAAGTTACAAGTGAAGTCAAGATTAGTTGATTTTGTACCGTCACCATTAATATGCATTTGTTAGCACAGATATAAGTAAACGACATTAGTGAGAGGACCTGTATTTAATGACTACAAATTAACAATACACTTATTATTCATGGATTTACCAGTGTTCTGAGTTTTAGTTGTCATTTTCTTTACAATTTAGTGTAAACAACTGTTGGATGTTTCAATAGGATTTAAACTGTGTATTTATCCTGCAGATTGTAATAAGTGCTTTATGTAACACCCTCCCCCCCCCCAATAAAAACTGTGGTTGTAGCTGAATCAGTGTCATCACTGGGACTGCACTGTCCTGATCAGTAATATTTAACATTTGGGAGGACACACAACATTTCAAAGAGGAGGTTGGCACCAGTCAGCGCAGTGTTCCCTGTTAAAGAAAAGAAAAAGAGGGGGATATAAATGGTTATAAAAAAATATAAGAATCACCTTTATTTGGCCAAGCATGTTACACACACACAAGGAATTTGTTTCCGGTATAGAACCGCAAGGAATTTGGGAAATATATACAATATATATCAACTCCCTAAAGCAAACCAAGAAAATCCACTAATATTCATCCAACAATGTAAACACCCAGAAGTACAGCAGATTTACTTATGCTTTAAAAAAAGAAAAAGCATGCAAAGACTCCAGTGTTTAATGTAACTGTATCACTTTAACAGGCTTCTTTTAATAGCATTAAAAACAGCACCGTCCTCTGCTGTCATCCTGTATGAGGAAATAAATTCTTAACGTAGCAAAGTTGTTATGATAAGATCTTTTTAAAAATCTCAGGAGATAGATGAGAGGGATTCAGGCCAGCTGGGTTTACCTGGCTCGGAGTAAGCCCTGCTATCTCCGGTGTGCCTGTACCTGGGGCATAGGCCGGGTCGAGACCGTCGATGTCGAAACTGAGGTAAACTGGACCACTGCCCATCTGAGCCCGGACCTCAGCCATGAGAGGTGCAAGAGATTTGAACCAACACTCGTACGCTTGAACCACACGGAAACCCTGCACAGTACACAAATAGAGAATGTTTGCTAAAAGACTATCCTTCAGTAACCAACATAAAAGACGAAGACACAAATTAGAGTATATCTTTTTAACTAGCTCAATGACTGTTTAACCAAGTGGTGAGATTTCTGGCATCTGAAGAGTTAGATGAGAAGAGCGACACCGCTCTGACTGCACAGTAAGTGTGAAGCTGAAGCCAATAGCCAGTTCAGCATAAAGATGTTAAACACGGGGCTTCTAGTCACTGAACAAGAAACAAACCAACATCACACATCCCTAAAGCCACAGGTTGTCATTTTTAAACTCACTTTTCTGAGCTTTTGTAAAACAAGAAACATTTCAGCTGTTTTTGTGTTTTGTTTTGTTTTTTTTAACAATTGTCATTAGTGACTTTCACAGTAACAGCTATTTTACTGGGAATGGCAGCACATACCGATAGGCCTTTTTCATGGACGATATTTTTACAGATATATACACGTACACACACACACACACACACAAATGCTACCATGACAAGATGTTTAACATACCACGTACCATACAAGTGATGAGACATTTTTTTAACTGCTTACTAATACTATGGCTATGTAGTAAACCAAAAACACTGGCATTTATGTTACTATATCCACAAAACCTACAGTAGCAGAGTACCTGAGCCCGGCTCCATTCAAATGGATCTGCAGAGTAGCCTGGACCACGCAGGCCAATCTGGACCACTCTCTTACAGTCCAGTAGCCCTTCGTCCACACAGCGTTTGAATGGTGTCCCGTGTCCAATCTTCTCCCCCAAGATCATATCACTGGTGTCAGCATGAGCATCCACATGGATCAGACCTACTGGGCCATGCCTGACAAAATATCACAGAACCGACTGAGTGAGGCACGAAGACAGTGTATGCAATGGTTAAGAATACATCGACAAACATTGTAGAGCCATGGAAAACATTAACATAGAGCAGAATCAATTTTTCCTTCAGTTATTGTAAAATGAAACATCTTTGAGTTTTGGGTGTCCGGTCAGAAAACCAGGAATGTAAAGACTTTAAAAAAATTTCAGTGACTGTCAAAAAAAGTCAGCAGCTTAAGTGATAATGGGGAAAAACACTGCTGGTTGTTTCTCCAACCTGCATATTTTTGGCTTTCTTTACTGCAGACACAGGGTTTAAGTGTAAACCTATCCAGGCAGTATACATTTCTGAAAATATGGATCATGTACAGTCCCAAAGCAGTGATACAAAACCTACTTACTTCTCACCAACAGCCTGCAGGATTGGATATGTAATTGTGTGATCACCACCTGCAGACACCAAACCTTTGTTAACATCTGACCTTTGAACAAGAGCTTGCTTTTACACATTTACCAGGGTGAAAGTCCTACCGCCCATCTGTCTGAACCACTCACTCCGTCTTTCCCCTCTAGTCACTCTCACCCATTGTCAGAGGGATACAGCCAGCAGACATGATCTTCCTGTAGGTCTCCCTAATGCGTCTGCAGGTGTCTTTCAGGTCAAACACATTCACATTGACATCCCCAATATCGGCCACCATGAGGGACTCATACGGTGCTGCCTTGGTGGCACTGTTGCAAGCCCTTAGCATGGCAGACTCTCCTCTGATCTGACGAGGTCCAAACCTGTGGTGGTGGAGGGAGTAATGCTGCATGTAATATGAAGGCTGCTCACAATTTAATGCATACTGATAATATTCCAATAATATACTGCATACATGATAAACACTAGAAACGCCGCCCTCCTGTACTTTCAAAACTAGCTGCAAATATTTAATTTCTGAATGCAACATTTTCCCTTGTAATTATTTATTACTGCCACTTTAATATCTCAGTATAGTTTCTACCACTGATAACTAACTCTGTACTTGGACGTGCATGAAATAGTGTCCTATGTTCAACTAAGAAAAAAATAAAACAAGGCTGAAATGTTCTCATTAACGACATATGTTTGAATTTCTAGCTGTAGTCGTGCCACTGTCACTGTGTTCACATCAACACTGCAGGCCCCAACCCTGACACAAAGTAAATGATTAGAAAACCGTGAGCCACTGGCCAACAGCGACAGACCCAAGTGCTGTAACTGCAGCTGTAGAGAAAAGCACCACCTTGCTCCTGGACGGTTGGAGGTTCCGGTATCAATCGGTACACCCACAAAAGCCGCATCAAGCCCGTCCGCGGTCTCCTGGTAAGGCAGCTTGGCCATGGTGGGGATGCCTGACACCCGCGAAACAAACTCTGCGCTCGGCGGCACATTGTAGCGACTCCCCGAGAACTTCCTGACGTAACTTCTGCACAGAGCCGAAGCTTGTAGCGGCTGTGAGGACACGTCCGCTGCAGCACAACACTGCGAAATAACAGTGCGAGTTAGATTTAGGCTTCTACAGAACGCAAACATGTTTCCTTCCCTGTTGGCATCAAATCAAATCAAATCAAATTTTATTTGTATAGCGCCAAAGCACAACATGGAAAAGTGTATGAGCTGTAGTGAGATCACGGACTTTATCCATGGGTGCTAATTTAAGTGCTGGTTTGTAAGCCCGTAACTTCCCGTGTCTTGCAAACAGTACAGAACTTAGTATCTAATGTTTGTGCTCATACGTTGTTGTGTTTTCATGGACCGCCTCTGGCCATCCCATAAACATTGTATGGTATCGCAGTATAATGTGAGATATGAATGTATTACTTTCTTATGCGGCCAAGCTTGTGCTTTTTAAAGTTACGACATGGTTTGAAGCATGAAGGCAGCATAATGGAGCGGGTGGGTGGGACCGCCGATGGGAACCTGTCTGCGCGGGTGACTGCATCACCATTTGGTACAAAAGTGACATCCAGGAAAAACCTGACCCTTTAGGAGCAAAGATGGGCCGAGGACCGCCAGTTTGCCAACATATGTGTGAGAATATGATTGAAATGTTTAAAAACAATGTGTCTGAAAGAAAGACAGGAAGGGATTTGGATCTGTCACCCTCTACGGTGCAGAAGTGATTAAAAGATTCAAGGAATCTGGAGGGATTTCTGTGCGTAAAGGGTACGGACACAGGACACAGGACACAGGCCTCAGCTGGATGACCGAGCTCTCGGTCCCTCAGACGCACTGCGTCAAGAATCATCACTCTTCTATTAGCGATATAACCACATGGGCTCAGGATGACTTTGGCACACTCGTGCCAGCCACTACAACACGTAGCTACAGCCGCTTAAAACTGTGCTGTGCCAAAGGGAAGCCCTGTGCCAACAGTGTCCAGAGGCGCAGTCGACTGCTCTGAGCTCAAACAGTAGCCTACTCATTGAAGACAGGACAATTATTCATAGGCCTAAAACAGCTTTAAGACATTTTATTTGTTTTGGTACTGTGATTAAATTGTATACATTTCCACAATTTTCTGCAAGGTTTGAAACAAAGTAACCTAACTCTTGGTTTTACTGAGTTATGGAAATAGTTGTAATTGAAATGTACTGTAACAAAAACAAACATATATACAGAATGTGTATATACAGGTGCATCTCAATAAATTAGAATATCACGGAAAAGTTCATTTATTTCAGTAATTCAACTCAAATAGTGAAACTCGTGTACTATATAAATTCAGTCCACACAGACTGAAGTAGTTTAAGCCATTGGGTCTTTTAATTGTGATGATTTTGTTCACATTTAGCAAAAACCCTCTAAATCACTATCTCAATAAATTAGAACATGGTGGCATGCCACTCAGCTAGTCAACTCAAAACACCTGCAAAGGTGTCCTGAGCCTTGAAAATGGTCACTCAGTTTGGTTCACTAGGCTACACAATCATGGGGAAGACTGCTGATCTGACAGTTGTCCAGAAGACAATCATTGGCACCCTTCACAAGGAGGGTAAGCCACAAACATTCATTGCCAAAGAAGCTGGCTGTTCACAGAGTGCTGCATCCAAGCATGTTAACAGAAAGTTGAGTGGTAGGAAAAAGATGCACAACCAACTGAGAGAACCGCAGCCTTGAGAGGCTTGTCAAGCAAAATCGATTCAAGAATTTGGGTGAACTTCACAAGGACAACATTTTTTTCTAAAACTCTTTATTCTCTCCTTGATAATCTAATCCTGATTTGTCTAATCAGTAGTCTAGATGGGGGAAAACAGTATATTGGTCCTTTATTGTGATTATTCATAAACTAAACTAACTTCAAAGTGGGTGTCACTAAGAGTTAAGGGTTTTTCTAGGATGTCTAAAAGCCTTTCACAACATTCAGAGGTGTAAAACAGAGAAAATGTCTCTGTATTGTAACATCCACCTTAACTGTCAAATCAGAAGCCAATGTCGTACTCTCTACTAGCATTTTCCCACTCTATACAGACCTAAAATTTATTAGCCCCATTCCACACGGTGTCATCTAACATTAGTGTGTGACAGAGTCCCAGAAGATCCCATAGCAAGTCTCTGATAAGCAGCTGTGCACTGCTGATTTTAGTTACAGCTAACATTAGTTCCTGTGCCATGGGCACTAAAACACCCCCATACAATCACAGATGCTGGCTTTTGAGCTTTGTGCTGATAACAATCTGGATGGTTCTTTTCCTCTGTAGCCCGGAGGACATGGCGTCCATGATTTCCAAAAACAATATGAAACATGGACTCGTCAGGCCACAGCACACTTTGCATCAGTCCATCTTAGATGAGCTTGGGCCGAGAGAGGCCAGCGGCATTTCTAGGTGTTGTTGATGTATGGCTTTTGCTTTGCATGGTAGAGTTTTAACTTGCACTTGTACAGGTGCAGCTCAATAAATTAGAATATCGTGGAAAAGTTGCAAAATCATCACAATTAAAAGACCCAACAGCAAGTAGTGTACTGTAGTGTGTGTACTGAATGTATATAATACACGAGTTTCACTATTTGAGTTGAATTACTGAAATAAATGGACTTTTCCACGATATTCTAATTTATTGAGATGCACCTGTGTATAGTATATATAAAATATAGTTATTTACTTGTGCGCAGCGCATGTACAGTATCACTCCACATGGGCCTACATGTTCTGACCGCGTCAGGCGGAGGGACACCTCAAGAGGCGGAGTGTGGCGTAGCAGCAGCTTCACGCACTGAGCATCTCTGCATCAAATCTGCCTCCGACTTATCTCATCCATCCCATAATATCGACAAGCCAATATGGTAAAAAAGGTTTAAAAATGTGTTTCTAACGTTTTCCTGTAGATATGCTGTTTTAAACGTTTAACCTGTGTGAATAGGGTACGGAGAAGAAAGTAGGTCGGTCTTTTGACATTTCCCGAACATTACACATTTTTGCCTTGATATTTTGATTTGATTTGATTTATTCTTTCAAGCATGTAAAAACAGTTGATATGACAACACACATAATTTTACACATAATCCAATATCAATTTGCTTATACCTAGTACATGCTTGAATGGAGTAGGAAGAAGTCAGACTTATCCAGTCCTACCCCATGACATCATCTTACCATCATTGGTTTGCAAGCAGTAAATGATTCACTTCTACCCACACAAGTATTATACTAAAAATTTACTTGTGCGCAGCGCATGTACAGTATCACTCCACATGGGCCTACATGTTCTGACCGCGTCAGGCGGAGGGACACCTCAAGAGGCGGAGTGTGGCGTAGCAGCAGCTTCACGCACTGAGCATCTCCGCATCAAATCTGCCTCCGACTTATCTCATCCATCCCATAATATCGACAAGCCAATATGGTAAGAAAGGTTTAAAAATGTGTTTCTAACGTTTTCCTGTAGATATGCTGTTTTAAACGTTTAACCTGTGTGAATAGGGAACGGAGAAGAAAGTAGGTCGGTCTTGTGACATTTCCCGAACATTACACTTTTTTGCCTTGATATTTTATTTATCTTATTACTGTTAATTGCTTCAGTGTCGGTTCTGCCACACGGATATAAATTAGGTAGGTCTTCATTTTGTGAGAATGTAATCTGTAATCTCCTGTAATCAGAAGAAGAAGAAGTAATCTGATACATTTCTGCTCTGCAAAGCCCCCAATCCTCTCCTCATGCACTTCAAAATCATCTTACCGTTGCCACTGGCTTTACCAGTTTGTCAACATGATTTTCTGGACTTTTATGCAGCATTTATATAGATATATATGTGCTCTTTGTTCTATAAATCATTTTATGTGAAATAATAAATCCCTCTGACTGTTACATAAAACTGGGTCACCTTTATTATATCTATTTACTATATGCTAGAAAAAAAACATTAGAAATGTGATGGCAAAATACCTCAGTGGAAGATCTGCATGTGGCTCTTTAACAAGACAGTACACTGCAAGATGGCTGAGCCACAGTAGATAATCCCTTCTGCCTGCAGTAATCCTGTGTGCAAGAGACGTAGTCTTATGTCGCAGCAGAAACTAAATGTGGGCTCCAGAAAAATAAAGGATGCACTGGACCTGGTGCTGTACTGTCGGCTGGTGTAATAGAACTATTCAAGCAAGATGGAACCACTGTGATGATTTGTAGCACCACATGTCATGTGTAAAAAGGTGACAGAAATATTTGTAAGACTGAAAAAGCACACTCTGTTTTGAAATTAACTGGCACTAAAGTCTGAAAGGCCCTGTTCTTTCAAATTTGTTGTACTTCATGTGAATAAAAAAAAAATTGTTGTGTAAATCTCCCGTGGGCCCACCACCTGCAGGAGGATCCGTAAGGGGCCGGTGCACAGTGGATTGGGCAGCAGTCAAAGGCAGGGGCCCCGATGACCCGATCTCTGGACACGGAGACTAGCCCTGGGGGCATGGAATGTCACCTCGCTGGTGGGGAAGGAGCCCGAGCTTGTGCAGGAGGTTGAGAGGTACCGGCTAGGTATAGTGCG